TGTTCCGGCGTGTTTTTAAGATGCTATAATTTTAATAAATATTTGTCTTATTTTTTGTTTATTTTTTTATAATTTTTTTTATAAATTATGTTTAGGATGGTAAAATGAAAAAAAAAAAAAAAAAAAAAAAACTATTAGTAATTTTTTTTAAGAAAAAAGAGAGAAAAAACATTTAAAATAAAAATAATAAAAATATTTATAATGTAAAGTGTTGTTTTTATTAAAAAAATATCACATCTAATAATTATTTAATTAATAAAAAAAAAAAAAAAAGATTAAACATACTCCAACTAACCTTACTCAATTGTACCTATCACTCTGTTCTTAGAGTGGGTTTGGTACATATATAGAATCTATTGTATAGAAATGATAATGAATAGGAGAAAATGTGAATTAACCTAAAAAATAAGAATTGATTTTTTTTTTGTTTTAAGCGTGGAAATTTGCAGTTGCTGTCCGAAAGTACGCACCGGATAAATTTTCGGCTGAACCTAATACCTTACAAACTAGGTCCGACAAGACAAGTTATACTAGACGAACCATGTATGACAGGCGAACCTTGAAGCGTCGAGATTTGAACCAATGACCTTACGGTCACAAGTTCATTTACCATGACCTAGAGAATTGATTGTTTCGGTTTGATAGAATGCATGATTCAATAGAGAAATATAAGAAATAATTAATTGTCATCTAATCAAATATATATATACAAAATAATTTAAAATTATGATGATCGACAAAAAAAATATAAGTAAAATTCACCATCAATTTCAAGAAATCTCCAATTGCAGTGGTCGATGGTAGCGGAGAAGAAAATTTGGGGAAAAAATAATCGAAGATTTTTTGTGCGTACTTTCGAGTAGTAGCTCCATGTCATAAAAAACAAAAAGATTATTGATTATAGTGGTAGTTATGCTATACTTTTAACTTTTTTTTTAGGGTAAACTGTTTTTTTAGTCCCGTAACTAGACCATTTTTATCATTTTAGTCTCGTAAATGGAGCCTGTCGCAAACTAATCCCATAAGTGAAAAATTTTAGCTGTTTTAGCCCTTCGGCGCCGGAGACGCCCGCGTGGCTCGCCGGAGGTGACGTGTCCGCCAGGTGTCCTGCCAGGTCAGCGACACCTGGCGGACACGTGGATTTATTATTTTTTTTTATTTTTTATTTTTTTTAAATGTTTTTTAAAATTAGGCCAATTGAAAAAAAAATACAAATAAAATTAAAAATAAGTTTTAAAAAATGAAAAATAAAAATAAAAAAATCCACGTGTCCGCCAGGTCAGCGACACCTGGCGGACACATTACCTCCGGCGAGCCACGCGGGCGTCTCCGGCGCCGGAGGACTAAAACAGCGAAAATTTTTCACTTATGGGACTAGTTTGCGACAGACTGCACTTACGGGACTGAAATGGTAAGGGGTCCAGTTAAGGAACTAAAAAAACGATTTACCCTTTTTTTTATTTTAAATAATTTTCAAAATATAACTTCTATATAATATTATATTTTTATATCTTCTCAATAAACGAAAAAATATATTTATACATTAATTTTTATGTTTTTTTTTATATATAAACAATTTACGCAAATTATGTATATATTTTTTTATATTATTTCATTTCAGTTTTTTATGTATTTCTAATTACATATATACATTATATCATAATTCAATTAAAAAAACAGTCTATCATTTCAAACAAAACATCACATAAAAATATTTTACATTTTTAGTTTTATTTACAGGGTAAACTGTTTATTTAATTTCGTAACTGAACTTCTTTATCATTTTAGTCTCGTAGTTGAAGGTTGTTTTAAAATAGTTCCGTAAATAAAAAAATTTCGCATATCTCGTTCCCCGGCGTTGGAGGTGCCTGCGTGGCATGCCGGACGACACGTATCCGTCAGGTCAGCGCCACCTGTCGGACACGTGAATAATCTTTAATTTTATTTTTAAAACGTAAAAAATATAAAAAGACAAAGTGAACAAACTTACGGATTAAGATAACTAAATAATTCAATTAAAATTTTTAAAAATATTATAGATTATAAAATTTAAAATATAATTAAAGTGTATAATTATTTTTAAAAAAAATTAAATAAAATGAACCAAAATGAAAATACTTTAACATTTATGTGGGATATTTATGTCGGATGAAGAAAATATAATTTTATAAAAAGTAAAAAAAATAAAATCTTATATTTTTACATATTTATATAAAAATATATTCATTTATTTAGAATAATAAATATGATTACGGATGACATCTACTTTAAAAAATATTAAAAATATAGTGTGAACCACACACTAGTCACTGTGTAAACGACAACCGACATATACTAGGTTATATACCTTTCATATAGGCTGGGAAAAAGACTTCCCAAAGACTGAAAAATTGCATTCAATAGAAAATTCGTGTATGTATTATTAAAAAGGGTAAAGTATTTTTTTAATCCCGTAGCTGGATCCCCTTATCATTTTAGTCTCGTAAGTGGAGTCTGTCGCAAACTAGTCTCATAAGTGAAAGATTTTCGTTGTTTTAGCAATTTCGTGAAAGTCTATTTTGGAAAAAAAAAAAAAAAAGGACAAATCTACTACCTCCGGTAATGATATATTGCGATAGCCAAATTACAAAAAGCAAAGGGGAAAAATAGAATTTACAGTGATAAATTCCGACATATCCGATACATACACAATACTGTGAGACAATTGATCACTAGAGGGGTTATGAATGTTGACTATAGGTCAATAAGAAAACCTTGCGGATCTGCTAACCAAAAGGTTACATTGTGATCAAATGTGTAAATTGCGAAAGGAAATGGATCTGCAATCCATGAATTAAGAGACAATTACAGTGGTAACCCAACCAAATCACTTGGAGATCCCAAATATTGATTTAATGGGAAAACTAAGATGTAATAGTTGGCACAAACACTCTATAACCATTCCCTAAAAAATAACGAGTGTTACAATGTGCAAAGTGGTGAGGTTGAGTCACTGACTCTTAATAATGCTGAAAGTATAGTTGAACACTTTAAGATAGGATTACCTATATAAGTGTGAAGTGCGGGCCGCTTCAAATAAAACACTTATGAATCCAAAGATGTGATCCATGGCCGAAACGGATCAAAACGTGAGAACAAAATGAGGTTGAGATAGCGGCATGTCAATAGTATTGACTAAAATGTACACAAATGTGGAATAGTTTAATGCATCGTGTCAACTAGGCCGCTGGTACATACAATAATATTGACTAAGGAAGGTTCAAAGCCACAAACTACTTATTCCGACGTGTCGATGTCTCAAGAACTGAATTGTGTGTTGTCCGAATTAAAGGGCTTTTCCATTCATATGGAGGATTGTTGGGAATCGGTTAATTATTTAATCGATAGAATTTAATTTTAAACTAAATTCATAATTTTCTAATTTTCGGAACCGATTATTCGGTGAGTTGAAATGCATGTGAGTTGTATGGTGGTTATTAATAATGTAGTTAGGCATATAAATGTTGGTAAACCATAGGCGCGTACCACTTTCCGGATCCAAAAATTAAAATTAACATGCATGTATAATAAATTATTATTTGAAATTTCAAAATTCAAATAATATATTTATGACCGGAATTAAATTTGGTGTTTATGACCGGAATTAAATTTGGTGTTTATGACTAGACGTTACCAGAATTAAGAGCCGACGATTTCGGCTCGGCATTTAAACTCCAGGGGGTGTAGTGTGTATAAAAGACCCTCTCCATCACTTCATTTTACACACCAAAGCTTGAGAGTTTTCCCTAATCTCTCCCTCTCTAATCCTCTCTTCTCAGGCAAAGCTTTCGGCGAGTTCTCTGGTTAAGTTTTCCTGCGACTTTCCGACCTCTAGCCTCCCAACACAATGTGTGTTTCCCTCGTTTTAGTTCGCTGGAGCACCGTAATATTGGGGTGCCACCTAATTTGGAGACGAACGTTGTTTTATCTTTGGAAATATTGCGCCACGAACCGGAGCCACTACCGGGGCGTATTCGTTTTTACGGACAGAGGTTCCACCTCGACTCGACGTGATTATCGAATTTATTTCGATAATTTATTATCGAGATTATCGAATTTATTTCGATAAAATTGTCATGATTATCGAATTTATTTCGATATATTATTATTGATATCAAATTTTATTTTTCGATAATTATTTAATATTCTCGCGGTATAATAATTTTCTTACAAGCCAAGCCACGTTAGCAACAACAGGCCAGCATGACAAGTTCGGCAGCAGAGGATCATTTTAATGAAAACGTTTTACTTGCGGGACTATTTTCTAACATGGTTCATTAAAGTCCTAAAATGATAAAATGAGTAATATACAATATTTTTTTTTTTTTTTTTTAAAAAAAAGGCAAAGCCAAGGAACCTAAATTAGAAACTCATTAATTGTCACCATTCATCGTAAAAGGCATATTGGTTTTAAAGAGTATGGATATATCCAAGCATGTTTTGAAGAAAAATATTAATTCTTAAGCACCAAGTGCTATATTATTGTCATTGTCAATGGTAGCCAATGGAAACTCAATTCAAAGTATGAGACATTGGTAAGATCCTACTTCATCAATTTCAATAATCAAAGAGTAAATGGATAGATACTTGTACCAATCAAATGATTTGCTAGCCCTTAACAACATTACTTAACCATATTTTCCAAAGCAAATGTTAAATTATAACTTTATCTTTATAATTGTGCCATAATTAATTTAAAATTTCTAACAAAAGATAATCAAAATCACAAGTCATTTTCCCATATCTTTTTTACATTTACGACATCACCAATCTTTATTATATACAGTTGAAAAGGTTTATGTTACTTTGGCAATAAAAGTCAAACCTACACAACAACACTCTAAAATGAAAGTAAATTATAATTGACTTTTATTCTGCATAACACACAACTGTCAATCTAAATATTTATAACAAAAATTAAAAACAAAAAGAAAATTATGTTGAATTGTTAAGTGATAGTTATTGATTGAATAATTATCAAGTTTTAAATTTCATTTTTTATGTAAATGCTCGAGCGAATGTGTCTTTCTTGTGCTTAATGAGAAGCATATTTTGTACGGGCATCTTATTGCGAAGTTTCCTTAAATTATTTCGATGTTGTGTTGACCTACAGAGGTATTCGACACCTGAATTTGCTTGCGCAACACCTTCTGCTGCTTCTCGATCAGCCAAGCTATCCATCTGACAATATGATCGTATAGTCCTAACACCATGTGCATGCCGATGCCCCCAATGATCCCGTATGAGATGGAATACGTTAAAGGCATTAGTATTATGGTGACAAACGCTGGCACGGCCTCTTTAATGTTGTCCCACTCGACATCCTTCACCACTCTCATCATCAACACCCCGACCATCACGAGAGACGGGCCTATGGCCCACCGCGGCACGCTAGTGATCAAAGGGGCAAAGAATAAAGACAATCCAAAATAGATGGCTATGATCACCGCCGTCAATCCTGTCCTACCTCCTTCTCTGATCCCGGCCGTTGATTCTATATATGTAGCAATCGGGGAAACTCCTAAGGTTGATCCCACAATTGTCGCACTCGCATCAACCATGTAGGCCAAGTACTCACCCTCAAAGGTTCCTTGGTCATCCACAAGCCCCGCAATTTCAGCCATTGTGTACAATGAGCCCGTCATCCCTAGAACGTCGACGTATAGCAATGTAGCCAAGGCTACCCATACTTGGCCCTTGTTAAAATCGTTGAAGCTAATGGCCCAAAATATGGACTCAATTTTGGGGAGGATTGCTATATTCTTGAAATAATTGTAGTTTGTATCTCCAAGAGGTGTGTGTGGAAAAATTGTGACCGAGGTTGTCCTAAACCATGATATTATTGTGACAAAAATCATTCCGTATATCATGCTTCCTTTGATGTTCTTCATAAGGCCATAGCACATTATAACAAAGCCCGTGAAGCCTAACCAAAATTTCGGGCTTTGCATTTTTCCGTCAATACATCGACCATTGATTGAATCTACAGTTCTACAAGCAGAAAGGGTGACCAGAGTAGCTGGATCTGGGCCTACTAGGCCTACGCCTTGGTGGGCTTGTAGCCCTACAAAGGCAATGAATAGCCCAATGCCGGCCGCAAAAGCCAGTCGTACTGATGTTGGTATGAGCCGAGCCAACTTTGCACGGAGCCCAAAAACAGAGATGGCGAAAAAAGCGCAACCTTCGAGCAAGACCACGGCCATGGCAGTCTTGTATGATATCGGCCCGGAGCCATGGAAGCCCACTAAATTATATGCCACGTATGCATTGGATCCCATGCCCGGGGCTAAGCCCAATGGGAGATTAGCTAGTAAGCCCATAGCCAGTGACCCGATCATGGAGGACAAAGCCGTGGAAACAATAAGGTCATTTCTTATCTTAGAAAGACATTTTTCATAACCAGCATTAGATTTGAGGGTACACTCAGGACTGATAGTTTGGTTCTTAGGCGACGAACAATCGGCCATGGAGCATGTCCCGCCGGAATCCGCCAAGATGGTGGCATTGACCGATATAATATAGGCCATGGTGAGAAATGTGGCGGTGGCGGCGCGCAATTCGACGGTGAATGATGTCTTTCTTGCCTCTAACTTGAACAAGTTGCCAATTTTGCTCTTAGAAATGGTTTCATCTAACCTTTTGTGCATTGTGTGCTTTTCCTTAGGCTTTGGATTATGAAAAGTTTGCAACTTCTTGTAAGAAGTTTATGATGGAGAATCAAGAATGAGTACATATTATATGTATATGTATATATATATATTGGACAATCTTTCAATTAAATTAAAAGAGAAAAGACAATGTATATATATATATATTTTTATTTGTGTATAGGACAAAGACAATCTTCGAATTAGACAAAATCAACTAATACTTTTGAAATGATAATATATAATTTATAGCCATATGCCCGTATGGGATTGGTATTTTAATAAGACTTTTATTGTATTTAAAACTCTATAATTAGTTAGAAGCATGGACTCTATTATTGATTTATTGTTGCTTTAGTTTAGGGTTAGCCACTCGTGACTTTTGGGATGCTATTTTTGGGTTTAGTTTAGCTTAGTTTTTTTTTTTTTTTTTTTTTAATGACGTGGGAACTTGCAGTCGCTACCCAAAAATGCACACTAGGTAAACCCCCGACGCCTCAGGTCACCTACCACACATGATTCGCCTAGTGTGACTTTTCCGTCGGGCTTGATTTGCAGGGTGTTTTTGTGTTGTGTGAAAATTGGTTTGTATGTAATATTTTGTAAGAAGAAATAATAAAAAAATAAAATTAAAGATTAAAATAATACAATTGTGAATGGTCTATTTTATTTATATATTTTAAAGTGATTATTAGATATGATCTTTTGTATTAAAATATAAGTGTTTGATTTTATATATATTTTTTTAAAAAAAAAAAGTTAAAGAGATTTGAATATATGACATTTAAAGAAAAAAAAAGAATACTCACTTCACCTACTCTTAATTTATATTTAGTCATTTTAGTTTGTCCATTTTTAAAGAATATATATATTTTTTAGTAATTATATTTTTTAGTTTAATAAATAATACTTTTACATTTTACACAATATTGCAAAAATATCGTTAAAAAGTAAATGAGTATTAATGTAAAAATATTTTTTATTCTTCTATTGCACTAGTAACAATAAAATACAAGTATTCTAAAATTTACGCGTAAAAAGTAAACGGTTATATTCATAGTGAACTAAAACAGTATAAAAACAGCACAACAACATATTCAACAAGTGGCATAATTTTTCCGGAAGACGGGTAATTATCATACTATTTAACAAAATTACATTATTTATCTTTAATATTTTTCCATTGAAGCAATCAATATGGTGAATATTCTATACATTCACTGCAATATTTATTTTAAAAATGTATGATAAATAAATGATTGCAATGGGATTTTATTTTGTGTGTGTGTGTGTTTTTGTTTTTTTTTCTTTCAAATATTAGTGTCTATAAGAAATTGATATAAATTATTTAAAAGTATATTTAGATGTAATATTTTTTATACATTTTAAATTTTATAAGCAAAATATCTTTTTAACATGATAAGTATTTACTATATCTTGTGAACATATATGTTAAAGATTAAAAGAAAAAAAAAAAAAATTGTTTTTATGTTGTTTAAGGTACAAAAGTTTTTATTTTTATTTTTTATTTGGGCTTGTATATGGGGGTTAAATTTGTATAATAATGATTTGATATGATCTATCATTTAAAAAATATAATAGAGTATTTTTTATTAAAATTATGCATAGAAATGGTTATGGGAATATTGAAAAGTCAAAGCAAATATAATTTTTTTATGATTTTTTTTTTTAAGTTTTTCAAAATAATTATTAGATGTGATATTTTTTTTTATGAAACATTATATTTCCACCGGTAAATTATACGGGATTGGTTGGGTATAGAAATTAACGCTTTGTTCTTATAACCAATTTTTTTATCGATATAATTCTCAATATATAATAAATATTCTATTCTTTTACAAAAAAAAATTAATATTTAATATAAAATATTACTTCCTTTGTCCCTGACAAAAGTATATATTTGGATTTTTATAGTAAATTAAAAAATAATAGTATTTGATTACTTAATAAGAATGTATAAGATATTTTGATATTTTTACTTTGTTTGGGGGAAGTATATAAGATCATTTTGATAAGTCCTAAATCCTAAACTCTCTTTGTACTTTTTTTTTCTTTTTTTAAACGGATGTTATTTGTATTTTATATATATATGTGTAATGGTATATATTTATAATTTAAACAAAAGTTAAAGATACTTTAGTATTAGTATGTGATTATTTTTACTATAATAAAAAAATAAATACTTTTGATGCGCAAAAAAAATAGTAAAAATATTACTCACATTAAACAAATACTTCAAAGTAAAACACTAAACAAACAAATCCTAAGAAATAATAATAGTATTTTAATATTAAAGTGGATAGGTAAATAGTAAAATAAAATATTATGAAAACTTTAGTAACTGATTGATAAAAAGAGTAGTAGAATAAGTAGAAAATATAATGACAAATTAGTTATTATTTGTTAAAGTAAGAGTAATTATTATATATACATATCTCTGTTGTATTATTTATTTAAGTTTAGCCATGAGCTCACTAGTATATATATTATTGTACTCTTATTTTCGTAATAATACAATTTCATAATATTTTCATAAATTGTAACATGATATCAGAGCCTATTTTTCTCTTTGAGTAGACACAATATACCAATCTAGATTTTCCGGGTACATCCAACCTGGAATGTATCCGTAGTCTCCAAAAATTTGAAATTTTGTCATTAATCTTTTTGTTTAGAGTTTTGGTTTCCATTTACATTTGGATTTGAGAGTTCTGTCTGCGTATTTGTCAGCAATCGATATGTCATATTTCTCTAGAGCTATGTGTCCGACTGCATTGAGAGTCTCGTCGTTTCTGACTCTATTTAGAATCTCGTCATTTCCAACTATGTGGAGCGTACTCCCATCGCTTTTGGCTCCAGTGAGAATCCTGTCGTTTTCGACTCCGTTATGAGTCATGTTGTTTCCGACTCTAATTCAATTTAGAGCATTGTTTCTGACTTTGATACGGTGAAGCGGCGCGACAACAACAGACAAACAACTGTTATTTTTTATTCGGGTCTTTTGCTTTTGTATTCACTTTTTCTTTTATCAAACTCAAGTTGGTTTCTGTTATACCACTTGAGTTTGAGGAGATGTTGAGATATTTTAGATATTCAAGTTTAGTAGATTTATATTTGGTCTTATCTATATGTCATAACAAAAAGTTGAAAATATAATAATAATATGCAATTTAATTACAAAATAAACATCTCATTAATTGTTAATGATACCTTCCACGAGCTCACTAAACATATTGAGTTTGATTGTCACTTCATTCGACACAATATCGTCGATGGGGTTATCCATCTCGTTTCGATCTTCTCCGAAAATCAGACAACAAATATCTTCATCAAATCTTTTATTCCTATCAGCTTAAATATCTGTTTTTTATTATTTATTTTAGTTTAGTCTCGAACCCACTAATATATATTTTTGTACTTTTATTTTCGTAATAATATAATTTTATAATTTTTCCATAAATTCTAACAGTAATTGATAAAATTGCGAGCAAATAAAATTATTTATTATAAATGAATTGTGAATATAAATTTAACAAATACAAAAAAATAAATAGTAATATAAATTTGGTTGATGAAAAAATATTTTTTTTAAAAATATGTGAGTTTTGATAAATGATAGTAAAAAAAAAAAAAAAAAAAAAAAAGAAAAAAAAAATTAAGTATTTGATAGTATTATTTTTAAAGTATTAATGTTGATAAATAATGCTAGAAGTAATTTTGGGTGTAAGTCAACAGAGCCTTTATAATACAAAGAAATGATCTCTAATTTAATGTAATAATAATATACGTGTAGAATTTAAACCCATATTTTTTCCGTCACGAAAATATACTCTATACTTTTTTGGACACATTTTAACATGGTTTAGTAATAATTAATATTTTTGTTTTTAATTAAAAAAAGTGAAAAATACAAAAAATAAAAAAATAAAAAAAATAAATAAATTGAAGATATAATATATATTTAAATTCTTTGAAATTCATATAATATGATTTGCATAAAATTTGAATAATTAAGTGTGCTTTATAACTAAACATCGATTTTAAACGAATATGATATTTTGTACATATTTTAATTTAACATATATATTCACACAATAAATAAAACAAGTTTTGCAATCTTTTTATCAAAAAAACACACTCAAAAAAACAAGAAAGAAATGTTATACTCTCTCTCCGTCCCTATATTTGTAGTGGATAAAAAATAAAGGTAAAAGACTTTTTTGCCCTTGTGAGTGTATTAGTGTAAAAAATAGTGGCAATTGTGTAATAATAATGAAAAAGTAATGATAGTTTTATAGTGATATGATTATTTATAGAAATGAGACTATTGCTTTGTAACAGACAAAAATAGTAAACAAGACTATTGTATTATGACAGAAGGAGTATAATTTAACACAGCTAGGCATATATTTCGATGATAGTGGTAGTATAAATTTAGGGGTACATATATATTGAGTTTAAACTAAAGTAAATAATTTACTCAGCTGTTTCTAACATTCTTTTCGTAGTATTACTATTATAATATTTCCTCCGTCCCATAAATATAGTCTTAATTGGATTGGGTACGGAATTTAAGGAATATTGATATTATATTGATAGTTGGTAAAAAATATGGATAAAAGACTTTTTTTGCTCTTATGAGTGTATTAATGTAAAAAGTAGTGACAATTGTGTAATAAAAATGAAAAAGTATGAATAGTTTTATGATGATATGGTTATTTATGAAAATAAGACTATTCTTTTAGGACGGACAAAAATGATAAATAAGATTATTGTATTGAGAATGAGACGAGGGAGTATCTTTTAATTATACATATGTGTAGCACCTAAAATTAAATTAAATTAAATTAGCTGATTTGGGAAAACTCAAAACTCGAGAGGCCCCTACTCACTTGCAGCCCTATTCCTATCTCTACTGGATTGGACAATATATGGTAATATTGAGCATAATTAGTTCGATTTGAATTTAAATTTAAATA